TCACCTACACCTTCTCCGATTCCCGGTCCGTTGGAAACGTGTGAAAAGGCACCTCCGGGTTGTGCAGCGGGTTGTTTGAGTAGCGCACAGGCGGTACAAGTTGTACTCGGCATCTTTCGAGGAACAACTGGGCAGTCTTGGGCACACCGAGTTGCTCACAAAAACGAGTCTTGGAGTCCTCACAAGCAAATAAACAAAAGGCCACACCGAAGCTACACGGGCTACAGATAAAAGCAATGGCTAAACACGCCAATCACTAGCCGAAATAGCGGTTGTAGCGGGTCAAAGAAGCGCACTCGCGCAACGCCTGGACCAGAGGAAAAAACAAGGAGGTTAGAAGTACTAGGAGGGGGCACGTTGCAATATTGGTGAAGCCTAGTCATAAAAAGTTTAAACGATTTTGTGCCCAGCGTGACCGCAGATCTGTCTGGCGATTGGTGCGCGTGACATGTCACGTGTGAGATGGATGGTTGATTGTAGGACGACTCCTTGCAGGCTTGCGCGCGATCCGTCCGGTAGGTTTTATCAGATCGAAGGCTAGGCTGTGGTGTATTCTAGTACACCATAGCTAGACGAAGGCTAGCTACAGTCACGTGATGTGGTGAGAGTAAGGAAGAAATAGCGAAAGAGGCGAGGCGTCAAGGGAGCATGGCTTGTGGAGGCTACGCGGCTGACGTCATGCCCTCTCCTACCCTTCTATTCTCCATGGGAAAAAAAGAGAACGATACTGACGTCACGGCCCAATGTTGCTTTAGGGATCGGCAACCGGCTGGCCGCCCGCCAAGGAGCAGCGGCTCGCGGCGGGTGGCATTTTTATTATCGGCATTAGTTGAGAATGCGGCGTCCCCGGACGTAATTTTTAGGCTGGGGTCGTATTTTGTGTCACTACAGCGATACCAGTAATTTATTTCATTTTGAGTTTTGGCCGGAGTATGGCCGGAGTTTTCCTTTAAGGACGCCATGTTGTATTTTCACGTTATTAGATTAAATGCTATATATATATATATATATATATATATATATATATATATATATATATATATATATCGATAACGATCTGAAAGATATGTTTTTATTAGTCTTAATGCAACTCCTCATACACCGTCGATTTCAAGCTTTTTAAATAGAATGTCGTGTTGCACAGTATCAAATGCTTTTCTAAAAGGCCGACGAGCAACCAGAAAAGTGAGGGAGACCTTCCCCCTTCCTGTGGGGAGTAGCTCTGAGACCCGCTCCCGTGGGGAGATGTGGAGAGAGTACAAGAGGGAATGGGAGAAAAGGAAACTGAAACCGGTTTTCTGCCCGGCGGAAGACGATTCTGTAGATCGGCCAAGTCCAAAAATAAACCTATTAAACAATTTGTTTTTAATATTTTAAACAATTTTATCCTTAATGTGAATTAGTGCTCGTTCCGCAGACTTATTCTTCCGAAAACCAGACTGAGCTTAAATTATTACTTAATGTCCAAAAAAAAAAAAAAAACTTGCGTAAAGTGTAAGGATTTTATTCAGTGGTACCCTGGATGAAATTGTTTGAGGAATAAGTTAAGATACTCGTTATCTGAAAATGCTGACTCCTTCATAATGAAAACGGAATTTTTTTAAACACAAATATATTTGTGAAATTGTTTTGTTCTTTTTGGGTGTTATTGCTTTTCTACAATTAATTTTCACCTTAACTTGAACTATATGTATTCTACTACACATTAAAACAAAGATTATTTGGTTGTGAATTATTATTTTTCTTTAATACAATTCCTAATGAAGTCACTTTATTCTGGAGGTTGATAAGCAGTATGTTGTAGAGCTGGCTTACAAGGCTGTAACTTTCATCATTCCTAATAATCTGAATTCACCCTGAAATTAATCAAATTGAATGAAGGCTTGAAAATTTGACCCATAAATTGGCCTGGCCTCTAATAATAATTGCTGTCAATACTGCAATTCCAACATAACCCCTAAAACCAATAATTAAAAAGTTAATTAACAAATTTTAAATATTTTGCCAACTTATCATGAAGATAATCCTCTCATCTAATGTCTGCTAAGTCTGATAAATATATGGTAAAGACGGAACTCCACTCCCACCACCTTTAAAAAAAAATATGTTTGAATTCAATTCAAACAACCTGTATACCTTTACACCGTGTGTCAATCCCAGTACCCCACAACACTCGCAGAGGGTACAGGGGATGCCTCACAAAGCGAGTCTGTTCCATTGTCAGGATGGAGAAGGAATAAAAATTATGCGATTGTGACGTGTACACACATTGAATATCTCATCTCGACTTACGTTGGGTATTTCCAGAATAATTAAAGTTCAAGCCATTACATCCTTCCCAAGCCTCCTAACAAAATATCTATTATACTTTAGACTGCCCTAATTAAAATAACAGTAAGAATCTTCGTGGTATTGAAAACGAAACTGCCTCATATCATTCTGAGAACTCAGCCCCATATATAAAGAAGTAGGTAAGTTAGCGCCTGTCCTGTTTACTTCTTGTCCTTGTTTCTGTTGCGCTATTTGATATGTTTTACTAAGTAGGTAAAACAAAGGCACAAAATGTGATGAATGTAAAATGTCACGCATTGAATCTGAATCCTCAATGGTCAGACAAGAAATGGACAAATACATTTCAGTGCAGAAAAATGCTATCCCATCAACAAAGTCGGGTAGCTCTCAAAGAAAAGTAATTGCAAAGTAATTGCATTACCTCCCAATTTGGTTAGTTTGTTAATATGAAACAATATACCCCGATAAATATTATACCCCTCCTCTATCAGGTGGTCTCAACTCGTTTTCAATTTTCGTGCATGGCATAATCGTTTAACCTGGTGGAACGTCGAACCTCATCAGGCTCGCGACATCTTCAGTTTTGGTATTAAAAAATAAAAATAAAGTCTTGGTGCAAATGCTCGAATTTTGGTGAAATGTAGCAATATGTATCTGGGTAGAAACCACTACAAATATGAAGAGCCCAGGAGGTTTTAAATAAAATGCTTCAATGTGTGGGAGCCGGGGGTGAAAGACGAGGCAGGGGGCACGTGACAGGCGGCCGGCGGAGAAGAGATGAGCTGGCGCGAGAGAGTGTGAGCTGAGCGAGGCTGGTAGCTGGACAAGGAACGTCGAAGCCAAGCTGCCTGGCCTGGCCCATAACGAACCCCGGAGCGGTCCACCAACAAGGTCTGGAGCAAGACCGGTGGAAACGGCGAGCCCGGGCCATATGACCTGGGCTATGACGATCCCGGGGTGGTTCCGCAGCGAGGCTCGGGCATTGATAGCCCGGGGCAGCCAGCCTACGCAGCGCTGGCGTGGGAAAGGCGATCCCCAGGCCTGGACACGGACCCTGACTGTGAGCTCTGATCGACGGGCGACAACAAACGGTCGGCGGGCCTGGACTGCCGGCTCTCGACGACGGGCAACCCAGAGGTACAGTAAACCCATTCACTGTCTTCTCGTTGCAGTGTGTAACTCCCTGGGTGACGGGCGGAGCGCATACCGATCGGGCGGCGGTTATTAGTAGAGGGACTTCCGTAAAGAAACCCACATTAAAATGGCGCCCAACGTGGGGCCCGTTCCGTATGCCTCTGCTTCTAGTCGTCCCCAGGGAGTCCCATGGATTCTGCTTCTATAGTCGTCCCCAGGCTCGCGACATCTTCAGTTTTGGTATTAAAAAATAAAAATAAACTTTTGGTGCAAATGCTCGAATCTTGGTGAAATGTAGCAATATATATCTGGGTAGAAACCACTACAAATATGAAGAGCCAGGAGGTTTTAAATAAAATGCTTCAATGTTGCATAGGGACAATGTTGCATTCAATCAGTCCCATTAAGTCAGTTGTTTTTCACTACAAGCTACATTCACTACATTTGCTAGAGTATTAGCCGCACTGTTTATGAACAAAGCCTGTGGGCTTGCTTCCCCATGGAGCACGGGGATAGCAAATCACTGCGATCGGCAGTAAAAAAGGCAGCGATTTACGGGACAGAGATAACGTCTTCACGCGAAAATTCTATCCGCTCAGATCACATTTTTATGGAGAATTGTGTTCTCAACCTCGTTATTAGCTGTATTTTTTATGCAGAACGCAATGATTGGCTGTATGTGTGTTCTGCAGGCAAGTAGACGCAAAGGCTTCATTCATAAGAAGTGTGGATATTACTCGAGCTAGAGCACTATATAGCTCCTACGGAGCAGAGTAGCGCAATCCTTTGAACCCCGTGTTTTGCCGACAACATGGCCGACAGAGCGGCTCGGCGCGGGTCACGTGGTACTCAGGGTTCCAGGAGGCGGCCCGCCCTATGGGAGAATACATGGAGATCGACACAACACGGCTGATTAAAAAATGAACGGCGAGTTCACACTTTTCAAAACTAGTCTGCCGTGAAGTTAGTAAAGCACTAAACACTTTATCAAAGTTTTAATAATATCGGATGCGTGTGCAAATTTTGAGAAGGTAATTTCCAAGGCAATGGCGTTTGAAGCAGACGATTTTTGCTCGCAGCGGAGATGGGCTTTTCGGGTTGGCCGGAGCGGGTCACGTGAATGGTGTGACGCCGCCGTGTCGTCTGCTGCATGATGCCGCTCAGGCAATTTTTAAAAAAAAAGTCAGGTCCTTGCAGGGCACAAAACTTAGCGCCAATTATTCTAAAGTGTTCCATTATTATGTCAAAAATGATTGCGATTCCGTACATTCCCACAATACTGGAGAAACAACGATTTTCTCACGTTCTCCATTCATTTCTGACCACAGTTGGAACCTCCGGGCGTTCGCCGCTAGTCGCCGAGAGGCGGCGTTCTAGATTGCGCTACTCTGCTCCGAAGGAGCTATATAGTGCTCTAACTCGAGAAAATACAGTACCTCACGAAAACAGATGTAATAAAATGGAACAAATGTTTTACAAAATATCTGAACTGGTGTGCCAATCTCTTGCTCCAGTGCGCCAATTTTCTGCTCGATGCCAGCAAAATGAAGAACAAATGTAGACATTACCTCAAATAATTCCAATATTGTCTTTTTTATTAAGTTATGAAAACAATCAGACATGAAAGAACTGGAGTGAAATGTATAAAAGCGAAACAAATCCTTATTTCTTCTTCTGCTTCTTTTTGGATTTGTGGTGTCGCTTCTGTTTCTTCTTTGACTTGTGCTTGGAATGTGTGTGCTTGTGACGCCGCTTTTTCGTTTCCGTTTGCGAGTTGCTGCTTGAGGAGCTCGTGCTGCTGTCCGAGTCTGTTGACTCCTCCAGTAGTGCTTGAAGCTGCCGAATGCTGGAAGTTTTAAAAAGCACATATTGAGGATTTGAAAGTGCTCAACTTGCAAATTTGAAGATCTTTATGCACCCAACTGGCAACAAAACAGCTATACAAAACAATCAGACTGAAATGAAGTTGCCATCATTACACAGAAATGCTATTACATGTTGTGCTGGTATGCAGAGAGCCTGCCTGGCTTTCAGAGGTGTGCATATTTTAAAGATGGTTAGTATGACTTCTCTCTATAGCAATGCAATGTGCCAGCCAGAGACAACGTTCAAGGGATATTTGCAGTGCATATATCAAGGGTCTCAAACACGTGGCCGATGGGCCGCATGTGGCCCGCGACTAGCTGGGACGCAGCCTGCAGGCAACCGGATACGAGTCCCAGTTCCCATGTCTCGAGCACTAGAAATGGCATGCGCCATTGTGATCTCATTTCGCCGATTCATTTTCGCTCGAAAAGTTGCTCCGCTCTTTTAACATATTCACATAGTTTTTACTACTTATCTGTGTTTATTTGCCCTTTGTTTCGCTTTATCTTTGGCTTCCCAGCTTTTTGTAACGTACAACGACTCCGCTACTAGGCTGAAAGCACGAGCTCTTTTTTTTTAAGGATGCATCTCTGCGTGAACTCTCTATCAGTAGGAGCAACTGCTGAAGATAAATCCACGAGTTCGGGATTCTCGCCTTAAAAAAATATCACCATTAAAAGACAAGTAAGGGTGTTGTAATAGAAATCACCAGAAAAGCAAAAACTGTTAAATAACAGATGGTTTTTTAGAGACATGGTGAGCTTGGTTAATTCCTGAGTGAATTGAGCAACGGGAATGACAGTGTACTTGCTCTCTTGTTCTATTAAAAATGTGACCACAATGGCGGGTGGTGTCATTTTAATTATTGTTCTCACATCAGATCGGGGCCCAAAGTACTCATATTAACATATCAAATCTAAAAATGTCACTAGCGAAACTGAGTTTACAAAAAGCATAGAGCACCGAGGTCTTTTCTCTTTTAAATCTTTTGACCCCCCTCCCCTCCCCCCACCCGCCTTGTCTAATGTTGGCCCTCGGCCTTCCCAGTGTCTGCTATCTGGCCCCCACGCTCAAGTGAGCTTGAAACCACCGGCATATATGAACCACCTATTGCAGAATGCTGAAATTTTACCTAAAGTAGCCCAAGGGGTGAATGTAGTATGCAAAAACTTCAAACTAATACATTACCGGAACCAAAAGATAGAAGCGATTTTCTGGATATTTTTAGTCATGGGGATGCGTCCTTCCTCGGCAGCAGACATACATAGCCTGGCTATTAAACAATGCGGCTCATTGACCTTCATAGCCTTCAATTCCACAGGATAACATGAGTGGAAATCACTCTTGCGTTGTCATGCAAGCGAGCGATAGCTAATGACGTTTATGAATCACAATGTCAGTACCAGACAGTGCATCTGATACTGATGGAGGATGGTGACTTTTCATAAATATTTTCAGGAAATCGCTCCAAACTTTTGATTCAGGTAACATACTTGACTGAAACTTTCACATCCTGCCATCACTGCCGGGGCTACCTTGCAGTGAAGTTGGAGCCTTTTGCGATACATGGTTTGTTAATGCACTGCAGAAAATTCATGAAGATTTCCTTGGGCAGACCTGGTGCAAAATGCATGATAGTGTTTTAAAAATGTAGCCTACACCCTTACCGCTTCATTTTTAAAGCATGAAATGGTTTATAATGGAACCCCCCAATCCAAATTTGGTCCATCCACCCGTCCGTTATCCGTCCGTGCATTTTCCGTTAAATTTAGCGAGGAAATTGATGTCATGTGACCAAACATCACAAGACCTTTACACAGTGGGAAAATTGAAGTCACGTGAGCTATACACCATTTCAGCATCCCCACTAAATTTATCAGGGGAAATCAACATCATGTGACCTGATGTCACCTGACCTATACAAGAACTCAGTTTCCCCTCTAAATTTAGCGGGGAAATATACGTCACGTGACACACCAATTTCCTCTCCCCATCACTCTCCTCGCCATCCCTTCCCAGGTACCCTCACCTGCCTCCCTTCCCCTCGCTCCCCACTTACTCCCAATTCCCTACCTCTCCCCCTCCTTGGTCATGTGACATACGAAATCAGTTTCCACGCTACATTTAGCAGGGGAAATATACATCCCCATGACACACCGATTCCCTCTCCCCATTTCTCTACTCCCTTTAGTCTCCTACTCACTCCCGATCCTTCTCCTCACCCTCCTACAGTGCACTCTCCCCCTCCGCCCCCCATCTGCCTCCTTCCTCTTTCTTTTCCCTCTCCCCATCACCCCTCTTGCAGTACCCTTCTTTGCCGTCCCTCCCGATTTGCCTCCCTTCCCTCTTTCCCTTTCCCTGGTAACGTGCCACACCAATTCAAATTCCCCAAACCTGATAAAAATATAGATCAACACGCGGCTCCGACGTCAAGTTGCCGCGGTGGCTCTGCTGTTGACATGGTACATGCGCAGATGCTTTACTTCATGCATATCTGGTTTCTAAACATGCACAGTGCCCATACCTCGAGTGGACAAATGCGGGCTTGCTTGTAAACAGCATGTTGGCCTATAGGTACTTTACTCCAGGAATGACTGTTTGTCTTCAAACAATTGCTCCTAAAAACTGAATTTCAAGCACTTTAAAGGTAAAGGTCACTGCCAATTTCTGCTTACAGTGTTACCCAAAACAAGGTGCTTAAACGTTTACAACAAACGTTTACAACGTTTACAACAATCAAAGATGCAAGCATCTTTGATTGTGCCCAGTCCTGTTTCACACCAAATTCAGGTTCATAAATTTTTTTTTTCTCTCAATTTATTGACTAAAGCAGCAGTATGAAACAAAAGCTAAGGCAGACAAAGATGTCACTTTCCTTTTCATTCAAGGCCCAAACCACATCAAAACAGGGAACAATTTAGTCTGTACCATGAAATGCTGAGCACGTGTTCATGTCACAATAAGCACACACCTGCTGCTTTCGAAAGGTTTGAAAACTAAGCAAAGGACATATCCAGTGCCCACTCCAGGCCTCTGAGCCCAACTATCAAACTGAGATGCTTCTACTCATCAGCTGTTTCTTTGAGCACCTCCAAGGCAAAGCAGTGATGCCCACACTATCATGTGCCCCTTCTGCATTTTTGCCCCTGGACCTAACCAGCACTCATCCTCCAGATTTTCGAGATGATCTCCAAATGCCAGCTTGGTATTTTACAATAAGCGAATTTGCATGCAGAGGTTAAAATAATGATAAATTAAAATCATGGCAGAGAAGTTTCACTGCTCCCTTAAACTGACACAAGCTAAAAAAAAAAACAAAAAAAAAAACACTATGAATAATAAACATGGAAAAACCCTAGGTCTCGCAATGAAAAAAACAAACAAACAAAAAAACTAATATGAAGAGATAAATAGAGTTAATCTTGAAGGAGAGCTAACCCTTGGATGATATCCCAACAGAATACAATAAAGGGCAATACATATATGACACGCAAAACGTCTATAGTCTGTCCTACCCGATGTCCGCTGATTGAGAGATATGAGGGGGAGAAAACAAGAAAAATGCAAGGAGTGGCAATAAAAAGGAATGCAAAAAATCGCAAACCAGCCTTTCATAACCTCTATCTCTTCCTCCGTTTTGCTATCTTTTTAATTACGTTTTTTTCTTGAGGTGCCAACCAAGCAGTCCGCCATTTCCCCAGCCCCTCCCCGACATCTCTGCCTTTGGCCCATAGAACACCAAACACAACATACCAAATTTAAGATCTGATCAAAAAATAAAAAAAAGCCAAGAGGTAAAAAAAAGACTAAAAATAAATGTTGCTGATGCAGGGCCATTGCTTCGGTTGTGGCCAGCTAGATAGTTTTTTTTCTCAATTGACTTCTTATCTAAATATAGAGTTTGACGTGTGGTCCTATTCAATACATTTAATTGGCTTTAAGTTCGCAATGCTTGCATGGGAGTGGACCGGGGAACTTTTATTTTTCAATATTTTTATCCGTCCTCACATCAAAAGGTGTTCCCTTAGAACAATATGAGTTATGAACACCCTCAGATGAATGGTCACATCCATTTTTTAAAGAGAACAAACAATCTTGACTCTACTAAGCTTGGACAGCTTTTAGTGTCGCAGCAATAAGATTATGGGAAGCCAAGATGGAAAGCTGGGCTAGTTGGTTCATCAGGTCCAAATGCCAAAACATGCAGACAAATGTACAGAAGCAGAGGAAACAGAAGCAAAAGCCCCCTTATGTTTACATTTGTTAACATTTTCTTTTGCTTTAACTTTGTAGAAAGTCAAACAAAACTTTCAATATGTTCCCGACCAGTGACATTTATTTATTTATTTAATACTACCGGCCGCCGTGGGGCGGCCAAGGTAGGTCTTATGCTGTGGTGCTGTGGAGCTATGGCGCTCCATTTGAAACTCGGGGTGACTGCCTTAACAATCTCTTCTGCAATGCAAACTTTGCATACCAATGAGAGGTGCCCACCGTGGTCAACTTGCCCACAGAATGGGCTGCTACAGAGAGTGCGACATTCAGTGCCTTATACGACTGACTGTGTAAAGCATACAAGCCCCCTTTACCATAGAGGTTGTCCATACTGCCTGATTATATGACAATGTGAGCTGCAGCTTTCACAGCCATTCAATTTGCAGTAAAGTAGAACACAGTTGCTGTGCAGTCACTAATGGCCTATTCGTCTGGGGCACACCACACCCATGTAGTGCAGCAAGCTCTTTCCACTTTAGTACACGGAAGGCTGGTGGGACGGGAAAGAAGCTCCCCTCTCCCCTCTAGCCTTCCCTGTACCACAAACTGCACTGCACCAGTGCTATGCAGGCCCAGACGAATTGGCCATAAGTAAATTACTTCAAGTATGAATAACAAAACTGGCAAGTGAATAATGCACACATGCATACTGCAAACTTTTTTTTTTTTTTTTGTGATCTGAAGGGGCACTGACACCCCAAAGGT